AGGGGGGGGGGGCTGTATCAAAATGATATTGATCACATTTAAAAAGAGGCAGAGTGGCCAGACAGACTGAAGAAGATCTTTTAATGGTTGAGAAACCGAGGGATGAAAAAAGCAGCGAGGTCGAAATATATCAATACATCCTCCGTCAACGGCGTTGTAGTGGTAGTAGAGTTAGTAGCTCTGACAGGGGTTCTTTTCTTTCAGATCTGGCCCACCACCCACCAACCCATCCATCCCACTCGCAAGCAAATCCCACTTTGTACAAGTTCCCTTCCACCCCCCTCCATCATCCAATGATTCCTCTCTCATCCCATAACACTCCCACTACCCCAGGCAGACATGGCGAGATCCGCACGTCATGTTGAAACCCAGCAGCCATGTCAACATTGCTATGCCCGCCAAGAACCTTCTTCCTGCCTGTCTATCAACAAAAAAAGTTGGGATGAAAGAGAGACATACCACCACTACCACCGTCACCACCAACAACCACCAACACCGCCACCAAAAACCTGTACCTCGGCTTCCACCCCCCTCTCCCCGCCCCGGCATTGGCAACCTTTGTTTTCGCTAGTACAGCTTTGTCAGCCTACTGCACCTCCCGCTTCCCGCAATGCCAATGTGGTGCCATTTGTCTCCCCCCGAAACCCAATCAGCACATGCCAAACTTATGTAGCCTCAACATGGGAAAGTTCATACACTTACCGTTCGCTCCCCACACCTGTCCAAACTGTCGGGTCAAATGCTTCCCTCCTCCGTTTGTTTGTTTATTGATGTCGAGTCGATCGAGGGGGGACACCCGCACTCTTATAACAGCCCGCGAGTCCGGAGAAGCCAGAGAACCATACCAACCTGCATAAGTCAAAACAGAACCATCCATCACAATTGCCCCGACATGAATCACATCTCATGAGATGACCAAATGCTTAAAAAACCTAATAATGCCCGCTGCGAAATATTTGTGACACAATGTCTGAGCGAAAAAAAAACCCTCCAATACTGTAGTATAATGTTACTGGTACAAAAGCCACAACCCCCCCATAACACTACCCCGCTGACCGGTACACATTAGTCATATATCCAACTGTTGATCCTCTCATCACATGCTGCCAGCGACATGTCGCCGGCTCTTCCTCCTCCTTCTTCTCCTCCTCCTCCTCCACTTCCTCTTGTGGCATCCACCCCAGCACCACTATAGCCCCCCCTACGAGCTCGCAGCAGGGGTATCAGTGCTGTTCCCACTGCTCCCCGCCACCGCCGCCGCCGCCGCCTCACCACCCTCCGTCGACGACGACGACGACGACGGCCCCGCCGCCGCAGCAGCAGCACCCTTCTTCGAAGCCATCATTTGCCAAGCTGGAATCGACGCCTTGGCCGTCATCCCGCTGTTAAAAGGCGACGAGGCAGAAGCGGAACCGGTCCGGTTGTGGTTACCAGTCAAATAATCCGAATACGTCGTAGTCTTGGGAGCTTCATCCCCATTCTCAACCGTAGCCGGGGCCGCGGGCGTCACAGCAGCCGGGCTAGCAGCAGGAGTGGTTCCGCCGGTGGACGGGCGAAGATAATTATTCACACTGGTCGAAGTGGCAGTCGGGTTCATCCGCTGCGTGATCAACGTCTTCAAGCTCTTGAGCTCAGCATTGACCTCCCTCAGCCTGGTGTCAGTGAGGTCCTTTTGGTTGTTCAACGCGCGGGGGATCGAGTCCTTGAGGCTCTGGACGTCATCCCTAACCCGCTGCGCCTCGTCGTCGCGGCGGCGGTTGGCCGACTTGAGGTCTCCGATCACCGTCTCGAGTTCGTTAAGGGCCGTGTCGAGCTTTTCGGTGCGTTCCGTCTCGGCGGCCTTGAGGGCTTCCGTGTCTTTGGCCAGCTGCTCCACCAAGGCAAACGTCTTTTCGAATTGCTCGTCGATGGATTTCTTGTCTCGCTCCAGCCGTTCGGGGGTTGGGGGGGCGATGAGGGGGTAGACGTAGCGCTTCCCTAGGGAGAAGAGGCCGTAGGAGACGCCGCTGACGACGGTAGCCATTATGAACCAGTCACGCCAATCACGCCGAGGTGGGACGGTTTGCTGCTGTGGTTGTGGTTGCCATCCGTATGGGGGGTATTGCTGCTGTGGGGGGTATTGCTGCCCGTAGTACTGTTGGGGTGGTTGGTGTTGTTGTTGCTGTTGTGCTGGGACTACGGCCTGGGATGTGTATGCTTGTGGCGGCGCTACGCCAGCACCGACGCGAGCGAGGGCAGCGTTTACCTCTTCCTGGGTCAGGTTCTTTGCTTGCAGGAAGGCGACCTTCTTCTCGATCGGGGACGCGGCGACGCTGGGGTCTTGCAGGACTAGATGACAGTGGAAATCAGCATGCATCCGGATGTCTCGATCCTGGGTCGGTCTAGGTCAACCTACACGTCGCTGCCGAAGCGACAAGCTCCTCACGAATAGCCATATTCGTATATGTCGTATCTCCCTCCTCTTGAGATCAAGCCCCTTTTCTGTGGAAGAGCAGGAATTGATGAAACTGGAGGACGCGTTTGGGGCTGAAGAAGACCAAAAAGTAGTAGCTGATGACGACCGTTTGGGAAATGCAATGGCGCGCGGGAAGCCGAGGTTCATGCCGGCCCGTGCCCCTTGTTTCCTCTTTCAGCGGAACTCTTGCCATGGGTGCTTTCCCCCCCGGATTTGAATGGCCGGCATCACGTGTCACCTGCCAAGCCCTTCCAGAGTAGCGGAGGGCGGGGCCGGCCAATGAACTGCCCCGCCCGCATGTTTTGTTTACCACAGCAACCGAGCGCTGTACAGCAAAGTGTCGCTCTCGCCAGTTGTCGCAACGCTCCTGTCGCCGCTGTTGCCCAGCGACTTGCCAAAACGACCTTGCTGCGAACCTCGACGACAAACCTCTCGATACCTCGACGAAAGTACCGACTCACCCCTCGTTTGCGCATATCCCTCGGGCCAAGCAACCATCCCGCGATACGCCGGCGTACTGGGCAAACTCACCGTGCAAAACAACAGGAGGGGCGTGTGTGAGCGACAGGGGGGGACCAGCCCTCTAGCCCAAATTTTTTTTTTGACATCACCAACCATGTCGAGCCGTCGACCGCGCGAGACCCTCGGGGGTCTCAACCTCAACTCTGCCATCCCCCAGCCCCCCTCCGCCATGAAGCGACAATCCCACATTGGCAGCATCGGCGGCCCAGCCAGCCATGCGCGCTCCATGTCCGGCTCGCGCCACTCCCTGGCCTTGCAACGTCCAAACCAGCCCATGTTCCAGCGCTCCTCCTCCGGCACCAACCTCGCCGACGTAGGTCTCTCCTCGGTCAAGCGCGCCTCGGTATCGGCCTACACTGGCGGCGGCAGCAACACCACCTCCCTAAAACCGTCCTACCACACCGCCGGCGGAGGACCCTCGAGCAGTCAAGACAACGACCGCCGCAGCAGCAGCGTCTACCGGGCCCGTCCCTCGGGCGTCGGCGGCCCGAGCAGCGGCGGGATGGGCATCCCAACGGGCGGCCACCAAAGCTTCTTCCAACAAGCCCCCCAAGCAGCCGGCGTCCCCCGCGACCCCCGTCCGCTCCGAGACCGGTCCTACCAGAACCGACTGGGCCAGGAACTCGTCGAATACCTCGCCCAAAACAACTTTGAGATGGAGATGAGCCACAAGCTCTCGGACAACTTCATCAAGTCCCCCACCCAAAAAGACTTCAATTTCATGTTCCAGTGGCTCTACAGGCGCATCGACCCCAGCTATCGCTTCCAGAAGAACATTGACCAAGAAGTGCCCCCCCTCCTGAAGCAAATGCGCTACCCATACGAGAAGAGCATCACGAAATCCCAAATCGCGGCCGTGGGAGGACAGAACTGGAGCACGTTTCTGGGTTTGCTGCACTGGATGATGCAGCTGGCGCAGATGCTCGATCGGTATGCTCACAACCAGTATGACGAGGCTTGTCTGGAGGCTGGGGTCGACGTCACGGGGGACACCATCATTTTCAACTTCTTGACGCGAGCATACCAGAACTGGCTCAACATGGATGATGACGCGGGGGATGAGGATGTCGAGGCCGCGCTGGCGCCGCATGTGGAGAGGATGGCGGCCGAGTTTCACGACGGGAATGCAAAGTACTGTGAGGAGCTCAAGATGCTGGAGGCGGAGAACGAGAGGTTGCAGAAAGAGATTGAGGAGCTGGAGAAGAGCACGCCTGACCCGGCGGTGCTGGACAATCACTTCAAGATCATGCAGGAGGACAGGGCCAAGTTTGAGGAGTACAACACGCTGGTTTCGGAAAAGTCCGACAGGTACGAGGCGAAGAATCGGATTCTGCAGCAGGAGTTGGAGAAGCTGGTCGACGAGGTGAGGGAGGCGGAGGAGGAGAGGAGGAGGCTGCAGAGGGCGGTGGATGAGCAGGGGATCAGCATGCAGGATATCGACCGGATGACCGGGAACCGGGAGCGTCTGCAGAGGGAGATAGAGTCTGCCAATCTGCGGCTGGAGGACGTGAAGCGGAAGGTGCTGGATCGGGAGCTGGAGGCGAGCAGGAGGTTGGAGGAGCTGGAGAGGGCGGTGGACAAGTTCAACACGGTGGCCTATCAGATCGGGCTGATACCGGCTACTGCGGTCAACGCCAAGGGGAAGGAGTACGAGCTGCAGGTTACGGTGAATGATGGGCCGTCGGACTTTTCGTCGTCGCTGGGGCCGTCGTCGTCGGCCGCGGCGGGACAGGGGGGGGGGGGGGATAGGCTTCTGCAGGACTCGACGACGGGGTATCAGCCGGCACATATCCTGAACTTGGACCTGCGCGGGGAGGTTAAGAACAGCTTCTTGGTGCTGAGGAAAGAGGTGTCGGAACGGAGAAAACAGGCGCTGGACGTGATGATGGAGGATCATGACCTGCTGGACCGGGCCAAGGAGGCGATTGAGGACAAGAGGAACGAGGTGGAGGCGCTGCAGCACCGGGTGAGGGCGGCGGAGGAGGAGTATGAGAAGACCAAGGAGTCGACGAGCGCGCAAAAGATGGCGAGCGACGCGCAGATTGAGAAGATGGAGAAGGAGCTGGCCAAGATGAGGGCGCAGCTGAGCGAGAGCGTGCAGCTGATGGAGCAGAGGGAGATGAATACGAACATTGAGTGAGTTTTGACCCCGACACCAAACCAACCCTACAGAGATCGTTTTGCTGACTATCAACAGGTACGAACAGTTGACGCTGCGGGCGAACGCGCTCAGGGAGGAGCTGCATACCGAGACGATGCGCATGCTGAACGACGTGATCAAGTTCAAGATGCACGTGCAGAAGAACTTGGAGGAGTACGAGAGCTTTGTGGCGGACGAGCTGGAGAAGGAGTTGGGGAGTGACGAGATGAGAGATGATACCCAGGCTATTGACATGTAGTTTTTTTGTGTTTTTTTTTGGTCGAGTTTTATTTTACGGATGTTGTTGGTCTATGGGTTAGGAGTAGGATATGGTCAGGGATCAGGATATACCGTGTGGGATTTTTATTTTTTATTATTTTTTTTACTTTTGTTATCCTGATGAATATCAAAAGTCTACCTACTGCTGCTTACGACAAGCTTTTCCCATCTTCATGATGTGAACCTTGACGGTCCAGTCAGAAGAACCACAACCCCCCGCCATGCAAGGCACAAGGTCTTGGCACTCTTTATTCCATCCATCCAACCCCACCACCACTTTCACACCAACCCATCCCATATACATTTCCCATCTCATCAACAACCAACATCACCCATTCTCTTTTTCCTTTACACTCATCTAACCAATCCAAACCAGGACTTATCTACAGCAGCCAAACACCTTCCCATCATGACCACCAGCCCCCCAGCAGCAGCAGCAGCAGCAGCAGCAGCAACAGCAGCATTCACCTTCCCAAAAGAGCACTCCTTCCCCCCCTTCTTCACCCCTCAAATCAACCTCTCGACCCGGCACGCCCAGCTCTCCAAGTGGTCTTCCCTCATCTTGGCCTATTGTCGACACCACAAGCTCTACCGCATCTCCCTCTCCGATGCGACCACTTCCCCTGCATCGGTTATCTACCCCCTCTTCAACAACGAAACAATCAACCGGCGGCTGGAAGTCTCTTACATGAGGGAGATGATCGATTTTATGAAACGACAAGGGAGGGCGGAGTGGTATGGAGGTAAAGAAGGGGATCTGGCCTGGGTGTACTGGAGAACGCCGGAGGAGTGGGCGGGGTTGTTGGAGCGGTGGGCTGACGAGACGGGGAATAAGGGTGGGGTGGTGACTGTTTATGAGTTGGCTGAGGGGGAGGGGACGAGGGGGTCCGGTGAGTTTCTGATGATGGGTAGCAGAAAGGGTCGTGGCTGACAGCGTGACAGAGTTCTGGGGTTTGGATCAGGAGTTGCTGGTCAAGGCGGTGGGTGTGCTGGTCAAAAAGGGGAGGGCGCAGACGTTGGGGGGGGAGGAGAATTTGGGTGTCAAGTTTTTGTAAGGCCTCAGTTGGGATTTGGAAGGCATAGGGGGGGGGGGGGGGCGTGGGAAGGGCAATTTTTACGTGTTGGCTGCATTTTGGGAGGCGTCAATTCATTTGATAGGCGTGGAGTGGAGCTTGGGAGGGAAGGGGGGTGTGAATGTTAATTTTATGTGTGTGATTTGGAGTTTTGGGAGGCATATGATTGATATTGAACCTGGGAAGTGTGGCGGAAACATTGGGGACATGATGAACCCTTGGTAGGTCGAATAATACTGCTATGCATGTAATGGGATTTCCAGTGTTGCCCTGTGCAAAAAGGGATGCATGGTACCGGTATCAAACTGCCCAACAGAGAGCGACAAAAGACATCACAAAAGACAGCCTCCCCACTTTCAACTCCCCCCAAACCTCTCCCTAACCAACCCCCTCAGCCCCTCCATCACCCTCTCCTCCCTTTCCTTATACCCCCTCACCCGTTCCTCCCTCTCCTGCCGTCTCAGCATCTCCTCCTCCTCCCTCCGACTCTGCCTCTGATTCTGCCTCTCCTCTCTCAACTTCTTCATCCTCTTGAGCTCCTCGATCGCATCATCACCACCCATCAGATCCCCTTCGTTCATCTCCTCCACCCCCTGCTCCTTGTCCTGTCCGAACCCCTTCAGCTTCTCAGTCACTTCCCTCTTCCTCTCCAGCTTCCGTTCCCTCGACCCCGGGTCCGCCTTTGGAACAAGCTCGTCAAGCTGCTCCCTGTGGAGTTTCCTAAAATTTTTCCTCTCGTACCGGTGGTCATCAAGAGAGCGCCCCCTTTCCGTCTCCAACAGCTCGTCGCGGTGGGTGAGGTCATCTCTTGTTGGGATTGCTGGGCCATGGCGACCATGCTGCTGCGCTTGATTTTGGGTTGGGAAAGGAGGGATGTACTCATCGTCATCGTCGTCGTCGTCGTCGCCGTCGTCATCGTCGGATTTGTTGGTGCCGGGGTTCAGTTCTGGGATTGAGGGGGCAGGGGAGAAGGAAGGGGTGTGTATCTTTGATGATGGTGGTGGTAAAGAAGGGTGGTTATACCACTCCTCGCTCAACTCTCCCCTGTTCCACTTTCCAGTAAAACTCTTCCAGCGGCCTTTTGCCTCCGTTTCCGAGAGGGAGCCCAAAGACAAATTCTTGACGGTGGAGAGGTAGGATTGAAAGAGCTGGGTGTGGGAGTGCAGTGAGGTTTTGGTTAATGGGGCGCGGTGGAAGGGCAATGTTGGTGGTGACGAGTGATGGTGACGGGAGGGGTGGTGGTGAGAGCGGTGTCCATCTCCCCGATCGCGGCTCCTCTCTCTGCAACGCTCCCTCTCACGCCTCCTTTCCCTGTCTCTGTCACCATCTCGTCGTGATGGTGAGCGAGCAGGTGATCTTGATCGTGTTCTCGAGTTGAGCATCTTGTCCTCTTTTTGTAGTTGTCTTCCCAATCTGGTTCCGAAATAACACAAGTGAGATAGCTGAAATACCGAGTACAAAAGCCCACCTTCTTTAAAAACTCTATTCCTCTTCTATATTTTTTTGCGATGGCCAAGTCGTTGGTAGTATATACTGCCCGGAGACTCTCACTCACCGCGCGCCAAATTGTCAGTGCGCCCTTCCACATCCTCCCCCAAAAGAAATGTTAACGCTCCCCCCCAACCCACTGTTGACGCCGTCTCTCCTCCGTTTCCAATTATGCACCGCCAAGACCTTGTGCAACAAAACCTCCGTTTCCCCCTACCCCGACCCACCATTCTTATCTCCGACACCTCAGACAGCTGCCTGACGGAGATGCTGCCATCCATCTCAACCAGAGCCACACCTTTCCCATCCACGGTCCACCAAGCATAACTACCCAAGCCCCCTACCCGAACTGTTCGTAATCGAGGTAAGTTCAGTTAGCATCTTGTGTCCCCATCAAACTCAAATACTCTCACGGCACATCATCAAGCCACACTGATAAAATCTATTGACAATCAACAGTGTCAACCCATCTCCATTTGCCTATCGTGCCTATCTCTCAAGCCGTGTAACACCTTCTCAACACAATCCATAGCTCTATTCACAACGCTACCCACCTTGCCCAACCCCTTCACTGTAGGTTATCAACTCCTTGATACAGCTGCCAATGCCCGCCCACCTCTCGCTGTCATCAAATCCTGTGATGAAGCTGGCAAATGTCCACTGTAGGGTATCACCTCCTCAACACAGCCACAAATGCCCACCCCCCCTTTTGCTGTCACCAATCTCGAAATCAACCCCTCCCCCCCTTTCTTGCCTGTGTTACCTTTCCCCTCTGAAAATGAGCACCGACAACCAGCCCATGGGTATCTCGAAATAGAGTGATAGCCAAGGAAAGAAAAAAAATGCCAACCCAAACTCAACACACGATAAACCACCCATCCCTGAAAGAAACCTAAGAGAATCCCCCATCCCCCTGAGGGAATCCCGCAGTGTTATGCACCAAACAACCCACACACTCGCAAGACTCGTCGCAAGGGCACATGTCCAACGCCCCCCCACACAAAGCCGAAATGGGCAAGTGGACAAAATAGTAATCCAGCGCCGTCAGCTCCTCCTCGTTCGACAGAGCCGGCGATCCCTCGTTCGGCGGAGTGGGCGCGTTCGACGAGCCATCAGACTCGTTCGCGTTCGGCCTTGGTGGTGGCTGCGGTTGTGTCTGGTGTGATGGCGGCAGCTCCGGCCCGCTGGGAATCTCCACAGGACTCGCTAGGTTCAAAGGGTTCGCGCTGGGACTGGCATTGGCGCTGGAATCCGCGCTCCCGCTGTTGCCGTGGCTGCTGTTGGGGCTGTAGGCGTTCTGCACATACTGAAGCATTTGCGAGTTGAACGGATGAGCCAGGCAGCCAACACACTGGCAGCCCTCACCACAGCCGCACTCGTGAGAGTTCCCGCCCACGGTACCGTTGTTGCCGTTGGGAGCAGTGGCAGAAATAGGCGTCTCGTGTTGCTGCTGCGTGGGCGGCCGCGAGACAACTTGCTGCCAGATGGCTGGGTTGATGGGCATCTGCCATGAGCCATACTCGGCGGGATAGGTGAACACAGTCTGGCCGGGAAACTGGAATGGCTGATGGTGGTGCATGTTTTCCATCTTGATATCGATCGGAGTCTGATACTGGGGCATGAATCCCTGACCAAAACCCGGCTGAGGGGGTGCCTGCATAGCGTTGGGGCTCATCTGGGGCATGGGGGGTGGCTGCGAAGATTTGCTGCTGCAACAGCTGCCGCCTCCGCCTGACGGGGCGTTCTGTGGTTGGGGTGGTGGCATTATGTTCGGCATCTGCTGCTGAGGAGGGGTAGGAAGAGGAGCCGGCACTGGAGGAGGCGCCTGAATTTGGGGTGCCTTCTTGCCACCACCACAGCAGCCCCCGCCTCCCGAACCTCCCTTCGGCTTGGACATGGCCGATGGCTCGAGAACAGGATTGGAAGGTGGTGGCGGCGGCGGCCCGTTGAATGCCTGCATTCCCTGTGGGTGAGGGCCATCGACAAAGGCGGGAATGGGCACTGGCGAGACAAAAGTCCCGTTCAGCATCGGCACGAATCCGCCATTTTCCGTCTTGATATGCTGCGGGATCTGAATATGCGGGGGATAGTGAGGCGGTGGCATGTGTGGCGGCATGCTTGGGGGCATATTGTATCCCATTGGGCCACCAAAATCCGGTGGTGGTGCAGGCACAAAAGACTCCCGAGGTCCCATGGGTACCATCCCCATCGGATGTCCAAACGTCGCGTCCCTTGGGCTCACCATGGCCGTGATCCCAATCATTCCATTTCCATTGGGCGACGGGATCAGGTTGATGGAGTTGGGATCCATCCTCTCCAAGTTCGCAAGCGCAAGCGATTGCCTTCGGCTGGCTGACTTGGACCCCGAACCCGACTTGGTGACTCGATTCGAAGAGGTGCGTGATGCTGGTGAGATGGGTGTGTCAACTGGCGAAGGGTCGAACTCGGAACTGGTAGCACTGTCGACAGTCCCAGCTGGACAATGGCACTTTTGCTTCTTCGGAATGGCAACTCTAACGCCGCCGCATACACATGGTTTCCCAGGTGGGCAGGGGCAGGTGCTCAGGGGGCGACCAGGCTTCCTCACCGGCACCATCACCCGCTCGTTATAGTGGTTGCATTTCGTAGAGCGATGGCCGCGAATGCATGGCCCGCTATGTCAAGGCATGAGCGTCAGCAAGGAAACCTCGGGACAAACAGAAAAGCAAGACATACCAGGCCATTTTTTGCCCGTTTATGATGGGCATCTTGTGTGTTTGTTTGAGAGGGAGATGAGGGGGAAAAGCCTGTTCTGTTTCTTGCTCAGCAAGGTTTTCCGAGGCGTTCAAGGTTTCGGACAGAGCCTGTGTCCCAGCCGCTGCTGGAGACAATGTTGTGAGTAGGATAAGCAAGACCGAGCTCGCAGCTCATACCGCCGCAGGCAGTGACAAGGCTGGCGAGCAATGCGTCGAATGGAGAGAGGTTATCGCCAGTGCTTTGGCTGAAGCAACCGAGAGCTTCTGTGTGGTCGGATGGTACAAGACTTGTCGGATGCTGCCGAGGTCTGGTTCAGGAGAGCGGAGTTTCCTGTTTATAACGCGCGCTGTATCGCCACAGGTGAAGAGACCGAAAAGATCGACACCGTGTGCTTGAGGCTCTCTCAACGTTCTAGACACCCCAAGAGCTGAAACCGACAGACCCTCGAGGCCAGCAAGCGGTGGGACGAAGATGAAGGAAACCGTCCGTGAGAATATCGAGACGGAAAATAAGACGAACTGTCAAGCCGTCGACGGTTGAGGTTGACAAGAGTCAGTCAGGACTCTGGACGAATCTTGTACAGGCGACTCAGCGGACCTGGAGAGAGAGAGAAAGGACGTCCACAGATTTGTGGAAAGTCCGAGCGGGTTTAGTCTGTCCCGTCAGCAGCTCCAACATTCAGAGGTCCCCCTCCAACTGGCACGCGATGTCAGCGGCGCTGGCCCGCAGCTTAGGCACAGGCACGGGGCTTTTTGCTTGTTGGGTTTTGGCGGTGGAAGGTGGACGGAGGTACCAGAGCTGGCTCGGCAGTCAGAGTTGAGCCGAAGGGACGGAACGGTGTCGATGGTAGCAGAGCCGACAAAGAAGAGAAGCATAAAATAAAATAAAAAGAAGAACAAATCCAGGTCCCAGGGTCACGCCATTCTAGGGCCAGCGCCGGTGGTTCTGCTGGAGCTTGTGTCTCTGCAAAGGTGAGTGAGAGATGGAATATGCCGGTGAGCTATCGAGGTAGTAGGTAGCACACACAGCTTTGCTCGGAGCTGCTGCTGGACCTGGGACGAGGGGAGGGCCGGGCCGGAACTGAGCGAGGTAGGGCGGAGATGGAGGCTGCTACTACTGGGCTGCCGGGGGGCTTGGATTGTGACTGTGCTGTGTAGAGGTGGTGTAGGTTGCAACAAGCTGGAGTCGGTTGAGTTTCCTGAGGAAGAGGCACGGGTGGAGAATGCCGGAAACAACTGGGCTTTGGAAGGTTTTCGTCTCGACATTCATCACAACTGTCACCTGTCACAGCTCAGAATTCTCCAAGGTAGCATTTGCAGCCATCGCTACTCCAGGCCACAGCACGTCCTTTCTTGGGGGTCAGGGGCCTTTCCCCGGGTCTTGATGAAAAACAACCTTCGCTCTTGCAGATATGGGTGGGTAGGTGGGTGGCCATGGCTTGAGATGGGAAGGTGCCAAAAGTGGGGTGCGCAAGTTTTTAGTCAGCAATATAACCACCACCCACGTTGGTCCAGCCTCGTAGCCAAGGGACACTTCTATGTACCGTGTAATAAAGATGGTGACTACGCTCGGGTCTTTTGAAATAGGTACGTACACACCCAAAGCATGTCAGCCATCTCCGCCGCGTTCATCATCAAAGAGAATAATAAACTCGAGATAACCACGCCCGACACTCTCTCACGTGCACCACAATCATCCATCCACACCACAAGATGGGATGGCAACGCCGCATGACAGGTGCACAACATACCTTAAGCCCTAAGCTAGACAAACTTTTTACTATCTTCTCTCCAACATGGCGTGCATGGCTTGATGGAACGCAACCCAACAGCCAAGGAGCGGGCAGGTTGGGGGACTGCGCGGGATCTGCTCTACGCATTTAGTAATTGGCCCTTTTGGGAGACGCCCTCTGACTGTCGAGTACTACCTTGCCATGCTTGCTGTGATTGCCTCCCTCCAAACTCGTTCACCTATTCGTAGACTTGCGTGACTTGGTGCTTGGTGTGAGCCGAACGCATGAACCCAACCCCAATAGTGCCGTTCCTCTGCCGCCCATTCCTGTCCCAACCCCGTGGATAGCGAATGCCTCGCATAATGTTACGCGAGACGTGGGTGGGTAGCACCGCCCAGCACCGCCGAGCATTGCCTATTTTCCCTTTGCCCTTTGCCCTTTGCATTCACGCTTGAGACCTGACGATGTGATGTGGGTGGCGTGGCGGCGGCGGCTGTTATGGATATAGGGGCCAAGTCAAAAGGGCACTTTGATCTCTTGGCGATCTAATCTTATCTTCCCCAGATACGCCTCCGTTTCTCAGGTGGCCGTCTAATCAGAGTCAGACCCCGCAAACATGTCCACTGCACGCATCCGCTTCTTCACTGGCGCAGCCTTCGCCGCCGACATGGAAAAGCCTCCTATGATCTTGGTTTCCACCTTATCTGCTGGTGGCTCTGTCATTGTCGGTTGCGGCATGCTCACATCTCCGCTGACCCCATTCTCGTCGTCGTCGTCGTCGTCGTCGTCGTCATATGGGACACCGTCGAGGTCCAGGTCAGAGAACTCATCCAGCACCGAGGTGTAGTACATGTAGGGTGACTGGAGCTCGACATCACCATCACGAGATTCTAAAACATCCTCCAAGTAGTGGTCATTTTCGTCGTCCTGGTCAGTCGATAGCTTTGTCGAGATCGGCAAAAAGCCGTTGTCCTTCTCTTTTGCGCCAGCTTCTGTCTCCACTGGCTTCCATTTGCCCGCCTTTTGCTCTGTTCCGCCAACGTCCACCGGCTTCTTCAGAGCTGGTGGGTTGTTGAAACTGTTGACGAAATACTCGTGGGTTTCAACCGGGAACACGCACCAACTCTCCCAGAGGCTTAGCACCAGTTCTACGGCGCGCTTCCACCTGTCGGCCCGGATCCGTCCCCAGCCTAGCTTATCCACCACCATTCCCAGCTTCTCAAACGTCTTGTGGGCTCGAAGCGCGTTCTCGAATAATTGACGATACCGCCATGCATGGCGGATGCCGCTGGTGGATGAAGAGGACAAAATGTCACTGACCACATAAAGGCCGAGAAGTGACGCTGCGCTAGTGTCAAGTCCACCGGATCCAAGTTTGTCTTCTGGAGCAGGAGAGGCATCGCGCGAGCCCTCGTCCTTCTCTTTCCCATCACGTTTGTAGTCTGGATTGGCCGAGGTATATGCGAATGGTTGCTCGATGTTGGACACAATCATTTCGACAACTTCATCGGCTCCTCGGCTGGCGTGCGTGATGGCAAATGTTGCTATGCGCGCAATGTCTCCTTTCCTGATCTTGGTTGTTGTTGTTGGTAGTCGAGACAACAAGTGGGACAGCTTTGACTTTTCAATGGGGTTTAAGAATGTATCCTCCTGCTCGTTGTGCTCGCCCTGTCGACCCTGCTCGTCATCGAAATCCTCATCTTCAGAAGAATCATACTCGGGCTCTGAGACAAACTCATCGACACCTGTGACATATTCGTAGGCAAGCCGTTGTGCTGGTGCTTTCCAGGCATGGCTTCCCTCAAACAATGGCCAATACTTGACCTTGTCTGTGGACTGCAAACCCGTCACGATTTCCCACAACCTCCAGCGGTACCAGATACCACCCTCACTGCGCGCATCCCATAGCCATGCCCATTTTTCCTCTTGTTGCACATCCGGGCGAGACATAAGGAGGGCCTCCAGCTGTGGCCCATGCTCCAGGACCGACTCGATGACTTTGTGTATCATGCGAAGTTGTTTGATATCCCGTGGCGGGCTGACAGGAACGTGGAGGATACCACTTCGGTTGACGGAACCACCCATGGGAGGGCCATAGTGGGTAGGAGGCGCATAGCCACGGTGGGAGCTCACCGAATGTGAGCCATGCGGCCTCGAACTTTCCTCGACCTTCTTCGCCCCAAATGGGTATGATACCACTGAGGTCGAAGGGTGCAGAGCTGTAAGCCCTGACGCAATGGCGGCCGAGGAGAGATGTCTGTGCAAAGAAAGGAAAAAACCGAAGCCCAGATAGCGATTCTGCAGCGCGCTGACTGCGGCATCAATTTCAGCAGCAGGGGTTTCCTTTGACAGCGTAACTATCGCTGATACCGACTTTCTCTCCGTGCCACGGTCAGCACCGGTCGGTCCCGCTGGTGGCACGATCTTGACATCCTCCACAGTCAAGTTTGCCGGTATCAGAGACTTGATGAATGCCGGTGATCTGCCTGGTGGCAAGTTGGACAAACGTAGGGTAGGTCTCGAAGCCGCCTTCTCCTCGGCACGGCCAGAAACAGCCGTTGTCTCCCCTTCATCATCACTGGCCTCGAAAGCTTTGGACACGGTCAAGGATCCCGCCTCTCGATCTTCGAAGCCCGACCTATCCCAGTTTCGTCCCCTCTCTCGATCTCGGTCCTGCTGAAACCCATCAAACGTTCGCTTCTTGCCGTATGATGGCGGAGGAGGTCCCAAACTCCCAGGACCACTCTTCAACGAGGGCCCCGAAGGAAGGCCGAAATGTCGCTTGCCTGCACCACCTCCAAAAGGTGACGGGCTGTTGAAAGCTGGTCGAGTGGGCGGGCCATTCCCAAATCTCGATGTCTGGTGAGAGCCTCGAGGAAGCTTATCCTCTTCGTCGTCGCCTCCAAATTCCTTTTGGAATTCGGCAAGGGCAGCTGCCGTCTCGGCCTCTTCGCGCAGGCGCTTCGCCTCGATCTCTGCTTTTTGTCTCTCGAATGCTGACTTTTCCTTTGGCTGTTGGAGTTTGGCCTGAACATCAGGAAATTCGGCAATGTTGTTGTTCGACATGTTTCGCGTTTTGCTCAAGCATTGCTGTTTGACGAAAGACGGTTGTTTGCGAAGACAAAGACGGCGGCACCTTGACGGCAACGGTCATAGCGTTCCTGGCTTGGCGTTGCTTGGCCCGTGCACAAACTCCAAGCACCTTGAAGGCTGGTTTGTAACACATCTTGCCCTCGCTGGAGCAGACCGGTGATTGGGCATCAAGATAAGACCAAAACATCATGAGGGCGGAATCATGGAAGTGGAGGACCAGTATAAAGGGCGTAGTCTAACCGCATGTGGCAACTTACGGAGAACCATGTCAAGATATCAAATCCCGAGATAAACCGCAGCGGGGTCAAGAGAGTTCAACAGAAGATACATCTATGCCCAAAGAGCATGGCTTTTCCCTTTCTATCTGAATACTTAAATCCTCAGTGAATCGATTTAGATCGGCATCCCTTTCCCTACCTCTGTGGACAGCCCAGCCCTTGCTCTCGAAAAGAGTCTCGTGCACGTGTTGCCAGCTGTCTCGGCTGCGTAATTAAAGTTTGGGCTCGCTTCAACTTTGTCACGGTTATTATTCTCCCGCCATGACTTCTTCCCTTCCTCAACATTCTTCCTCTTCCACCACCACCACCACAACCACCACCAACAACAACAACAAGAACAACACGAACCCCCCGTCCTCCATTCTCATTGTTGGCTCGGGTCTCTTTGGCCTCTCCACAGCCTATGCTCTCACTCGTCGCCATGAGTTCATCAACACCTCCATAACTGTCATTGACAGGTCCGACCCCTCCTCTCAGTCTACATTCCCATCCCCCGATGCCGCGTCCATTGACACGAGCCGCATTGTCAGGGCAGACTACGCCGACCACGCGTATGCCGCTCTGTGCGATGAAGCTCAGCTGATATGGCGACAACAAGACAAGCCCACTGATCTCGGCGCCCAGGGTCGTTACCACGAAACAGGTCTCCTCGTCGTCGGCGATGCCACCTCTGCCGCGCCAGTCGCGGACCCTCCCGTAGAGGGTGGCGCGAGTGAGTCTTCCCACAAGAAGCTAACCGGCATGGATTATGCCCGCAAGAGCTGGGAGAACGTTTCATCTCTGGCCTCTCGTGACCCAATGCTCGCCGAGCGCATCCGAGAGCTCCCGAACGCCGACGCGATCTGCGAGGTTCTCGGGACCGGTGGCAGCTCTGGAGCTTGGGGATACATCAACTACAACAGCGGCTGGACAGACGCCGGCGCGTCGATGGCATGGCTCTACGAGCAAGTCAGACAAACCGGACGCGTCAACTTCATTGCTGGCACAGTGGAGTCTCTGGAGCACGATGACACCGGTGTGACAGGAGTGAGGCTACAAGACCAACGCGTCTTGACCGCGGACCTGGTCATGGTGGCAGCAGGGGCATGGACAGGAAGCTTTGTCGACCTTGACGGCCAGGCTGTCGCCACGGGCCAAGTCTTGGGGTACCTCAACATCACCGAAGAGGAGCAAGAGATCCTCGGCAAGATGCCCGTCATCCTCAACCTCTCCAGCGGTCTCTTCATCATTCCACCAACCAACCGGGTCCTCAAGGTAGCTCGCCATGCCTACGGTTATACCAACCCACGAACTGTACATTTCCCTCCCCTTCCCGTCTCGCCAACTGCCACAAGCAACTGCCTCGTCTCGATCCCCCGGACATCGTTGCATGACCCCGACCTCGTCATCCCAGCAGAGGGGGAAACCGACCTTCGTGCTGCTCTCCGAGAGATGACGCCGCTGCCTGGGTTGGTAGACCGTCCCTTCACCAAGACGAGACTATGCTGGTATTCTGATACCCGGACGGCCGACTTCCTCATCGACTACCATCCTCACTGGAAAAATCTCTTTGTCGCGACAGGAGACAGTGGCCACGCCTTCAAGTTCCTCCCCGTCATTGGCGATAAGATTGTGGACTGCATCCAGCGAAACTGTCCACCCGAGTTCAAGGAAAAGTGGGCTTGGAAGGAAGGGGAGGGAGCCAAAGCATTGTTTACAGAGGACGGCAGCAGAGGGGGAAAGCCTGGGCTGATTCTGGAAGAGGAGCTCCTCAAGGCTCTGTCTGTGTGAGGGGTATTGATGCGATGGAAGGGTAAAATTAGAGACACCACAGGGGCGTGAGGCCTTGAAAGGGGCACAGCTGGATACACAACATGGAACAAGATACGGAAGGAGGTAAGTCGATCAAACCGTGCATGTCGCAACAGGTAGGGCAAGGCAAAGCAGGGCACACAACAACACAGTGCGGCGTGGTAAAACTCATGCCTGTCAAATAAGACGATGGTATTGATAGCCTTGTTGCAAAAAAAAAAAAAAAAACCGAAACCACAACTAAAAAAACGCCGAAGCGAGCTTTCCATCTTTCACCCAGATGAAATTATTGCTCTCCAGTTGTCCATTCTCACCCAGTTTGCGAAGGTTGCCCAAAGGATCTCACCATCCTTGATGTTCTCCCCTCGCTCAAGGCTTGAAATACCGGAAAGCTTTTTGTTTCCTTGCGGATAAAGAAAGCTCAAGGCAGTCCTGTAATGTGTGCGGCTGTCGTTTTTCTTGTTTCTTGCAAAAGAGCCTACCACCAATCGTCTTTCTTTTCTTGTTTGTGTGTTGTGTTTTGTGTGTGGTGCAAACCGCAGTGGCCGTCGCTTTGCTTGCGCCAACAACACACCTCGAGTAGTTTGAGGGGGTCATGTGTTCTTCATCTTGCAGGTTGTGCCTCTTTTTTCGTCGTCGTGTCCGAGAACCAGACAACAACAAACAGACAAAATCAGCAAACCAGCTTTTGTTCCGCGTGATGAAAGAAAACAAAAAAAAAGAACCATGATGTCAGGTTTGCCGGATCATGTCCCAGATCCCACCCGTAAAATCCCCCAAATCTCAATCTCTCTTCTCTTTTTTTTTTCTCATTCCCACCACTGGAAAAAAAAAATCTTGAGATGATCGACAAACACCCAGAGATTGAGGTGAGCCGCGCGGCGTGGGAATTCCTTTCTCGCTCCTCTTTTTTTTGTGATTGTTTCGCGCATTCATGTCGTTCCCACCGCCTCCTTGGTAGCCCGCTCGAATCCCAGTTGCCATCATCCCGAGCCATTAAAACAACGACGGTGGCAGGAGAAAAAAAGAGCCAGATCCCCCTTGTGCGCTGCGCAAAAATAAACCAGGCCCCCAGTTCCTCTTCGCCGATCCGTCGAGTTGTTGCGCGCGCCATCTCCAGAAAAAATCTATGTACTATAAACCCGAATTCAGGTAGAGGTCAAATCCGCGCGTGGATCCTTTATCGTCTGTCCCCCGATTGTTGATTCCCCCGGAACGCCATTGCAATGCTGACAAGAAAAGAGAAAACAAAAACAGCAAAAATACAAGGTTTGGGTGACCGAAAAAGGCGAAACCGATGGGCGGTTTTGTGCTAGTCGCCGACGGTCGGTGATAAAGTGCTTTTTGGGAGGGGGTATGATATTCGTAATACTCATTCGCGGCCAGAGGGTTTTCGGTAAGGGTGAAGTGGGGGGGTAATGTACAAGTCGTTCACATGGGTGCCCAAAGTGGGATGGAAGGTCCACGTGCCAGGCGCAGTGATGAGACGAAATCTACATCTTGCGGAAATCTGGCGGGCAAAGTTAGTACAATGACGTCATCATGGAAACTGGCAATCACATGGCAAAACATACCCTGCAGCACGGGATAGATCATCTCGAAAGCTTGATAGATCTCCTCGCGAACTTTCGCGCCTGTGAGAACAATCTTGCCGCTGACGAAGATGAGGAGCACAATCTTGGGCTTGATCATGCGGTAGATGAGACCGGGGAACAACTCGGGCTCGTAGGAGCTGAAGTTGTGATGCTTGGAAGCAAGACCCTCCAGACGAATGGGGAACTTGATGTCGCAAGAACCCACAATGTTCTGGATCTTGAAGTCGGTGAACTTGGCGTTGAAGCCGAGCTTCTGAATGATACGGGCATACTTGCGGGAAGCAAGCTTGGAGTCATCTTCCGACTTGGCGCCAGTGACGACCATCTTGCCCGACGCAAAGATCAAAGCGGTGGTCTTGGGCTCACGGATACGCATGATAACAGCGGCGAAACGCTTGGGGTTGTACTACAGCATGTTAGACCTGGCTTGGCAAAATTGTTGACGACAAGGTCATGGAGCAAAGTCGCTCAAAAGAGCTGTCTGCCCAGACCAGATCGCAACACGTACCTCAGCATTGCGAGCGTGCAGCGCAATTGTCTTCAGGTCCAGACGGCAGTCAAGATTGACAGTCGCGACAATGTTCCTTTGGAGGTCAGCCTACAGTTTATTTGCAAAGCAATGCAAAGGTGTTCCTACTGAAGAGTGGGTGTGATACCACTGGGTCCAGCTGAAGCGGCGCCCGGCGTCGCAGCGGGGGTCGCGGGAGTCACCCCAGCACCGTTGGTGGTTTGGACGCCCGACTGCTGTGCGCCATTGGCGACAGTGCCATTGCCCGCGACCGACTGGTTCAGATCGGCATGTCCGGTGGGGAAAGAGAGAGAACCGGGGGCAGTGAAGGCCTTGGCCTGGGCAGCGCTCGTGGGGTGGGTTTGAATCGCATCCATGATTGCGGTTGTGAGATCTCAAAGCGACTTTTTAGATGACTTTGTCTGCGCGCGAACTAATCTGCGGGGGAGAGCTGTTAGATGACTTCCTGAAGCGTGCAGATTGTAATAATCCGCAAATAAAGAGTGCTTTGTAGTCGCAGAGTGAAATGGCAATTTACGATCTCGCGGTGTTGTTTGGCGTAAAAGACGGAGGGGCGTCAGAAGCGGCCAATTTATAGTTCCGCCGTCGAGGGAAAGTGGGTCCGAGCGTCGTGGTGGTGAATTGGCAGTTTGCTCTGTTGTCGGCGGCGGGGTTGTCGAGGCAGCAGCGAGAGCAACTCGCAAGAGTGCGGGAGTGAATGGAAGCAGAGAGGTGAGTTTCTTACCAGAAGATGGGAGATAAACAACCTAATGTCTCCCCCTCAACTACTGTTCGCCGACACAAGCACCGGTAACCCGTCAAGACCTCTCGACCGTCGACCAAATATTTACTCGATGAGATGACGAAGTCGTGGCTGTTCTGGCGACGACGAGAACGAGAAGGAGTTGATGCGATGATGTATCGAGGTGGTCCACACTTTCAAGCACACGGCAGAGAGAGAGGGGTCTTGTCTCGTCTTGGGTTTTGCACTGTGACCTGTGCAAATGATCTTGATCTTTTCTTTTTGATTAAGGTGGTCTTGGTCGACGACGACGGAATCGATCGGGTTCCTGTATCGACCGGGAGTCTAAATGAGAGTATTTGGCTGTGCGTTGTGGCTACACAAGGCAGAGGCAGCGAGGAGTGAAAAGAAAAATGGGAAGTTATCACGACAGCGAAGTTCGTCGGGGTTGGCGACGGTTGCTTACGCTATGGTGCGGGAAGTGTGGCTGGAGGAGAATATGTGGGGCGGCAGAACCGAGCAACTTTCTTCCAAAGGGCGAGCAAGGTGGGCGATGGTGCCTTCTTAAATATTTTTTGTCTGCCAGCCGTGTCTGCTTGCCTCAGGCCAACAAGAAAACTCAACCAGCGAATCAACGGGCGGGGACGGCACACACGGGCCTCCTTGACGCCCCCTAAGTAGCGGTACTTTGCCCATCCCCACAACTCTAAAACACGCCCCCCCTTGTCACTGCGCCGTCACGAAGGGCCCTTTTGCTCTTGCATTTATCAACCAAAAATATTCATGATGGCAGCATTCTTTTCCTCTTTCCTCTAACAACAGCGATGTAACAATATTCAACAAGCACCGCGACAACTCTCACCACCATGTCCGGCCTTGCCCAGCGCCATCATGTCCACACTGCTCTCAGCCATGGCGAGCCTGACTGAACCAACTTGGCACGCAGCAAAGACTTTTCAACAAGACCCTTAGAATGACGATGAGGACATGATCGCCACTGCCAAATCCAAGCCATGAAACCTCTGTCACTTCTGTCCATCACAGCCCAACCACCAGAGGCTGACGCCCTTTCGCCCACGCCGGAACACATGGCTATCGTACACGGACAATGGCCTTTCAATACGAGCAACCTTTTCATCGCAGGAGCCACAAACCCATCACGCGAGCCAAATCAAAGAGCCACAGCGGCCCTTTGGCTCAACTTTACTCCTCTCTTGTTGAGTCCAGGCGGTTACACCTCGGTTGACGATGACGCGTATCGACCTCTTTGCGGCGACAGACTTTGTTATAACTTTCAAGGCCACCCCAAGAGCGCTCTCAAGCTTACACCCACCAACCCAGGCATGCGCATCACGGCTCGATCAACGCCAGCGACATCATGGCATACCGAAACCCCAACAATTGCACGGACTCGAGGTTCGACATTTGATGTTGCACATCTTGACAGCTTTGCCCAAACCGAGTCCCAGTCCAAACAAACGGCTATAGCTCACATCCCGGCACAGGGCTCGGGCGCAATCGCTGTCCGGCATCTTGCCTGAAGTACTGGTACATGTCCCACCCTCACCCGAGCCACTGGTGGGCCGCCCTGTTCAAGCGATGACTCACACAACAACATCTTGCGCAAACAGGAACTTTTGACCCCGATGCGAACGAACGCCATGCCGATAAGACCGATTTGTTGCTGGTGATCATTTTTTGTCCTTTTGTTTTGCATCTTTTTGAAGCTTTTCCTTTTCATTTTCGTGCAGCGGCATCACTCATCCATCCTCATTTCATTTTTAGGATCGACACATGCACCGAGGTGGCCAAGGGGGGCCCTAAAATTCAGCTGCGGGTCAATTGCGCCACCCACTCACGTTCAACCAAAGAGAGCCCGACCACAACCCAACTCCTTCTGGCCTCTTCCTCCTGGTTCTCTCTCACATGGCAGCGTTGTGTCGACACCGACTTGAGGACGAAAGCCATGGATGCACACGATCCGAAAAGGCGGGATCCATCAGGCTACAGGCTGCCGCATGAGGTCCTTGAGAAAAGCTGAGAAGGTTGGCACGACTCATTGGTTCTTGATTGTTGTTTTTTTACACTATCATGCGTCTGTCCGGCATCCAGCATCAACGATTCGTCGCGATAAGGGGATGGCGTTCCTGTCGGGCTGTTTGTTAAAGCTACCCCGCCGTGGCTGAGAGAGTCCGAGGCACGGGGGGTGATAGGGCGCTGATTGGCTGCATCGTGATTTCGCAATTTTGGCGTTTTCACGTTTGCGGCGCGCGTATGGGCAGCGCGTCACGATTGCAACACCATAATTTCCCCCATCACCAAGCTCGGAGGACACAGAATATCGACGATGTGGGTGTGCTCATTATGATGATGGCTCTGTGTGCAGATGTCATTTTAACTTTAAGCCGGACCCGGTGTCACGGCACGGGGTTAGGTGAGTCGTACAATGGTCGGTCTGGTTTGACTGTTATCACTGGCGTCAGGCTTATTGAGTCTGTTCAAGAGGAGTCATTCTTCGATCCGGAGGCTTTGGCTTTGGCAAACTAATAATACACAGAAACTCGACTCTGGTAGGTGGCATTTGACTTGTGCAATACTCCGGCCATGAACCATGAGCCATAGCCATGGTTGGAATGGGCGTTGGCTAAAATCTACCAAGTCCGGCATTTATGCCAGATATGCTGATTTATCGGCATGTAGTTTGCTTTAGCAACTAGATACCTTGAATAAACATATGTATCGTTTGACATTTAAATGTATTGGAATTGTTTGTTTCGGCGGAGAAGGTGCTTCGAGACCATCTCTTCGTTTGGACTGCAGACAGAGTCTGTGATAGATTTCCTCTTGTCCAGTCTGACCTTCTGGCGGCGACCATGATTTGCAAATGCTATTGAAAGACTTCCAACACAGCTCACACATCTATCCCTAGCTCTCTCTATGCCTGTGCCAAAGCAGTGCCTCTCCATGACAGGAAGTAGAAGGCCATGCCGCATCTTGTGTCAGCACCTGGCGGAAATATCTTGATCTTCGATGTCATCAAACAACATTCTGTCTTGGGAGTATTGTGAAGCCTCTGACTTTGCTGCTCAGACTGAGAGCCTCAGCTCAGTGACGGCCCCACTTTACGGCCAGGGTTTAAATGGGAAGCAAACTGCTTGGTGGGTCATGTGAGTCGCGGTTGCCTCGCGTCTCTCCTTGTCCTGGGTGGATTTTCGAGACGCGTCTCGGCCACCCACACACCCACTATCCGTACCAGCTTGGGCAAACAGACTTCGACGGTCCACCACTTGATGCAGACCATCACCGACACGCGCATTGCGACAGCTTGCTTTCAACATGGCGGAACAGCATGAGAAGGCCCCATTGCTCGCCGACTGCGCTATCGCTTTCGTGCAAAGCAAGCAGCTCTCGAGCCAACTAATCTCCATTGTTCGTCCCATTTGTTGTCCAGCTTCGTCTGAAGAACCCAAGCAACTAACTCAGCTCGTAGCTATCCGATGTCGCAAGAGAACACGGCGCCGAAGTGCTAGAGCCAGATCGCCAGGGAAAGATCCGGTGGAAGAAAGCCACCCACATTATTTCGAACACGATTGACTTTGAAGAATACACCGAGTCGCTGGCCGCCATGGTGCCCGTGGTCAAGTCGGACTGGATCAGAGTCAGCATTCATCGCAGAAAGCTGGCGCAGTTACGGCCCTACTCGCCAGATCCCCGCATGATTTTCTCAAGCGTGACCGTCACTTGCGCCGACATCCCAACCCTAGACAAGGAGGCAATCTGTGGTGGCGTTTTGGCCCTCGGGGGCATGGAGTCCAAGGATCTAAACAAGTTAACCACCCACATTTGCGCTCTCACACTGGAACACCCAAAGTGTCAGGAGGCGCTCGAGAAGAAGTTGAAGGCCAAGATTGTCCTTCCTCATTGGTGGGTTTTGGTGTGCAACTGTTGGCACGGGCACCTTCTAATCATACATCTCTAGGTTCGACGACTGCTTCCGTCTGGGCAAACGAATCGACGAAGGTCCATATCTCCTCCCCGACCCGGAAGTCTTGCGCACTGCCTCCGAAGAACCGGTGAAAATCCCAAGTAGCCAGCAACTTGAGGGTGCTAGCTCTGCTGTCCCCAGTGGCCCATACGAACCGCAGGGGGGGGAGAAGCTCGTGGTGTTTTCGCAGAAGAAGGTTCTGTTGGGCGACGACCTCCCCATCAACGACTCGACCCGTAAGACCATTGGCGAGAAGATTGCAAGAGGTGGAGGCGAGGTTGTGGGGACGGTTGAAGAGTGCAATACCTTTGTCGGTCACTACCGTGATGGCGAGCAATACGTCAGGGCTTCACAAATGGGTAAAGACGTCGGCAACTTGGCGTGGCTCTACTATTTGATTGTGTACAACGAGTGGACTTCGCCGCTTCGGCGCTTGCTTCATTACCCAGTTCCAAGAGAACCTCTGCCAGGATTTAAGGACCTAAAGATCACACTCTCCAACTACGGTGGTGAGGCCCGTATCTACCTGGAGAACCTCGTCACGGCTGCCGGTGCTACATATACCCGGACGATGAAGGCAGAGAATACACATCTCATCACGGCTCGCCTGCATAGCGAGAAGTGTGAAGCCGCCAAGGACTGGAACATCGAGATTGTCAACCACCTCTGGATCGAGGAGAGCTATGTTGCCTGCCAGGCTCTGGCTCTCAACGACGACAAGTACAAAGCATGGCCTCGGCGAACGAATCTTGGCGAAGTTATTGGCAAAAGCTTCCTCGACGAGACTGTGCTCCGCAATCTGTACTACCCAGGAGGAGAGGAACACATGGATGCGGCAGCAAAGAAGAAGAAGAGAGTGGCCGCAGCGGCGCAAAAGAATGCGCTCACCATGAACCTGGACAAGGACTTTGGCACCATGCAAGACTCGTTCATGGCGGATTCGAGCCCAGCGCCTGCTGCACCGGCAACGGCGAAGAAGGGGCGAAAGCCAAAGGCGGCGACTGCTGCCGCCCCAACCGCGGCCAACCTTGTCACGCCAGCTAAGGGTCGTCATCTTCGCACAGGGAAGGAGAATGATACCCCCTCCGTCCTGTCAAGCGGCACCCGGAGTGCCAAAGCAGCTGCGCTCTCCAAGCTTCAGGACATTGCTCCGGATCTGGCGTTGTATGAGAAGGAAAAGAGGAGGCCACTGAAGGATGGGGTTTGGGGTGGTAAGAGGGCGATGGATCAGATTGACAAGGAGAGAAGCACGAGAAGCTCTAGTCCGGCCGGCCATGCTGATGCGGATGGTGATGAAGAGGAAGAGGAGACTGGTGAGAAGAGCAGGCCGTCCAAGAGGCCGAGGTTGACGCTGCCGAATGTCACGATGAGGATTTGCGCGACGGGTTACAAGAGATGGGTAGGGAATAAGAACTTGGAGGATTCGGACCGGGTAAGCTTGCTTCCCACATCTCTTTATCGAGCATTGCTAACACCTCCGCAGAAGAAACTGCGCAACCTCGGCGTCACCCTGGTGCAAGACACCCAACCGTGCGACTACCTCGCCGCCCCCAAAGTCGTCCGCACGATGAAATTCCTCAAGTGCCTAGCCAAGGGCGCGGAAATAATCAACACTTCGTTCCTCGACGCCTGCCTCGAGACGAACAAGCGTCCGCCAGTGGAGGACCACTTTTTGGTTGACGAGGAAAACGAAAAGAAGTTCAACATCAACCTCGGGACGTCTGTCGGGCGCGCGCGCGCGAATAAAGGGAAGCTCCTGTGGAATGTGCCGATTTATTGCACAGCGGACATCAAGAACGGGGTGGAGAACTTTAAAGCCATTGCGGAGGCGAACGGGGCGATATTCAAGATTTATAGGGCGAGGAGCGGGACGACGATCAAGCCGACGACGGCGGAGGAGGATGGGGGGGCGGACCCGGACCCGGTGTATTTGCTGAGCGGGACCACGCCGGGGGAGAAGGCGCTGTGGCCCAAGTTTGAGGAGATGGCGGTTAAGGGGCACTGCGAGCCGAGGGTGGTGAATGGGGATTGGTTGTTGGATGTGGCGATGAGGCAGGAGTTGACGTTTGATAGGAAGTATCTTTGGAAGGGGCAGGAGGAGGCCGGGGGGGGGGGCGTGATGGATTGATTTATCAGTGAGCGAGTTATGGTGAGGCGTTTTTGGTTCTGTTAGCCGTTAGGTTAGGTTCAAGGTTATTGTTTTTGGGTGGGTTGATTGGAATTTTGTAAAAGAGAACAAGAAGGAGCAGAAGAGGGTAGTAAGTGTATGTACATTTAGGGATTCGAAAAGGAATCAAAGCGTAACACACAGATGTTGATATTATTATGTGCATGTCTCAGTGTGCTTGATTAAAGCCAGTATATATATATATACTTGGGTAGTGTGTGTTTGATGATACACAAGAAGAGCTGTGATGTGGGCTCTCTACAACACCAAAACGGTGTTTTTGTTCAAAATACCAACCCAAAACGCCTGAACCATCGCACCATGCCCGCTAATCAAGAAAAAGAAAACCACCAGAACAAAAGAAACTAAACCTGTCCATCCCGCAAACTTGGCGGTCTGCTGGAATATACTGGTGGGTACTCCGGCGCCCTCCACCCATCAGATACAAGATAGGAATCAGGATCAACAGACGACACGGTCTCCATTGACGCTCGGGCTCTGACCGACGGCGCTGACCTGTAGCTTGGGGGACGGCCGGCTTCTGTTGCTCCGGAGCTGGATCGGGAACGGTACGACGGCGGTGGTGATGGACCCCTGGATGATGAGGAGACAGGAGACTGGGAACGGGATGGCTCGGCAGCTGGCGGGATGATCATCGTGCCCTGCTCGATGTCGACCGCACCCTCCTCCTTGGGGTAGACCTCGACCTGTTGCTGGTTGGTGGCGCGGCGGATGTTGCAAGTGGTGGCGATGATGGAGGCGATGTGAGACAAGGCGGGGATGGCGCCGAGGGTGAAGATTGAGTCGAGGAGGGCGCAGGTTAGGTAGCGTTCTTTGTTGAATTGGCCTTTGCCAAGGTAGGTGAGGATGCCTTGGTTTTCGTAGTCTATGTAGGTGTTGGTGGGTTGTGATATGTTGGCGCGGCGCGGGGGGGGGACTTACCAAACTTGCGGGGGACATCGTAGCAGTAGTTGGTGTAAGAAGCATGCAAGACTCGGAGGATGTGAAGGAGGGACCATGCCATGAGTAGATCACCGAAGAAGGTGTGGATGCCGAAGAGGCGCCACTTTTTGGGGTCGAGGTTGCGGAACATGAGGGAGAAGATAAAGGTTATGAGGATGTAGATTAGGTTTAGGAGAGACTTGGAGAGAGGTGTTAGTTCATGGTGCACACCAAGGATGTACAATGGCATGAACCTACCAATGCCCGCGCCCAGCGCATGCCGGCTTTTGATCGCTCATCGTCACCTGGGGAGGCGTACCATGCCCACATGCCATTGTAATAGCCAGTCTGGTCGAACAAGAAGACTACGGCGTGGAGATGTGCAAAGTAGGCCAGTTGACAGGTACGGATGGCGGTCAGCCAGAGAAATGGCCAGTTGCGACGACGGCGGCCTGTCTTGTTGCAGCATGAGGTGGTGCTACGTTTCTCATTCTCGTTGTTGCTTTGGAGAGTGTCAGTAGCCATTTCGTTGGTTGTGGCGGCGGCCTGAAGAATGGTTTCTTCTTTTTCTTCTTCTTCTTCTTCTTCTTCTTCTTCTTCTTTCTTCTTGCAATAGAGACGGAAGTAGAGGATGGCGACCATTATCAACACGCCTGGAGGCCGCCGCGTGGACAGTTACAGAGAGGTAAAGTTGTTTGTTGGGATCTAGGCAGCAATAAGATGGAATGCGGCTCTCTGTGAGAATCTCACAGTTGCTGGCAGTTGTTTTTCCAGTGAATAGTGAATGAAGGGAAAGGGGGGTGGCCAATCACCGAGGGGCTTGGCAGCAATTGGGAGGCTGTGTGGCTGTGTTGAGATGACGCGTCTCCTCAAGTGGGGAGACTCTCTCTCTTTTCCTCTTATTCACTTGTACGAAGAAGATAAGATGGCGCCCAGAGATGCATCTCTCATCAGAAAGCCTCGCGACGGAAATAATCACCACGAAGCTACTACCATGACCTGAAACACACCTTCTCTCCCGAACCGGAGCTCGTCCAGTCACGGCAACATCATGGAGATGCTCGTGTTCCACCGCACATCAATCTCATTGGGTAGCAATTGGTGAAGATTCCCTGCTTGCATGGAAAAGGAAGAAGAGCTCGCAACAAGCTGGTGCCGTAGTGCCGCAGATGTGGTTCTTTTCGATGGCCGCTGAATGGCTGCAACCCTGCTGCCAACCCATCGCCAACCTCTCCTCACAGCGTCCCCCGAATAGGGCAGATGTGCCCAGGGTACACAGCCCCTCTCTCGTTTCTCAGCTCTGGACTGGACATCCACATGGGATGACGGTCTTTTTTGTTTTCTATTTCTCTTTTTGTCTGAATGCTCCGGCATTGCAGTTGTTCTTTTGCAGAAAGAACCTCGCTTGTTAGGTTTATTCTGCCTTGTCCACCACCATAGTTTGGTTGGTGAAGCAATCAATGATGGGTTGGGGGTCATCTTCAAGATGGCTTGCCATCGCCCGAACACTGCAGCTTGCTGCGGCTTTAGTATCGACCGCTCTACATGGCTTCAACACCATATGGATTCATGTCAAGAAGCTCGGTATGACACAGCACATGGTCATCCTTGAGCTGTTGGTATGTTTCCTTCTGTCTCCAATTGTCCCACCGACCTAGCTCGAGTTAAGGCTGACACCTTGTCAGATCGTCCTCATCACCCTGTACACCACCATCGCCATTTTGGTTCAACACTACAACTGGCGTTCCATAACGGAGCCATGGCTGGTTGCTTTTGTGGTTCTCGACTTGATCTTTTGCGCCATGACGATGGCCATCATATCCTTGCTTGCCTGGAATGGCCTTCCTGTCAGCTGTGTCGGCCTCACGCGGCCAAAGGAGTATCTGGCCGGCGATGCCCCGAACGGGTACCGAAACAGGTTCTCGACTAACGGCTTCACTGACGGGAACCAAAACATGCCCGGGGAACTAGACAAGTTCTGCCCTCTGGAGCGCGCATATTTTGGGTTCGCCCACGCTTTGGTCTTCTTTTACATTGCGACCATTGTCCTCAACGTCGTCCGCATCTTGGAGCTCAAGTATATCAAGATTGGCAATTTGGGGGAGGACGAGGAGGTGAATCTTAAGGCGGTCAAGGACCTCGAGGAGCCATCACCCATCTCCAGCACCGCAAGAGTCAATCTGGCGCCACCAGCACCACCAAGCGAAGGCATCGTTTCACGCACTGCTTCTCTTCGAAGCACCACGACGGCCTCAACATCGCGCCCCGCTTACTCGGCGGTTCCTGCTCGGGCTCACACAGCCGCCATCCCACGGCGACCCGTGGGAGCAGGCGGTGCGGTGCCATCGCCACACCGACGGCCGCAGTCGGATGCTTTCAACCGAGTCTCTTTGGACGAAGATAGCGATAATGCCGAAGCAGCGTTGGTGTCAGACGGCATGAGGCATCAGCACCGGCAACCACCTTCGAGAGACTATGTTCCTCACCCACCACATCAACAGCAGTACCCGCACCCACACAATCACCACCGGATGCCCAGTTTGCTCGAGGAGGACCAGATGACGACCACGTCTGATATGGACCACGCGTTGGTGTCGGATGGGATGAGGCCATCAGCACCCATGCTTCCACCGTATGAACCGGGCAATAGACGGACCAGTATAGGTGGTTAGGGTGGTATTCTGAAAAAACGGTCAAAAATGGATGAATTGATGATACCAATTTGGTTTTTGGGTTTTGGTGTTTTGGCGTTGGGGAAGGGATGGGATTGACTGGTCGGGATGTGATGAGCACAGCATGTCGTGCGCGGGATCACACGAGGAGGAGTGCGACCCGTAGAGAAAACATGGGACACATGTCTAATTTCAGCTTGATTCAATGCTTCACTTACACAGAGGGGGTCACACTGTGTGTAATGGGGGATTTGTGGCCTCTGAAGATAGTCGAGGGACGCTTTCGAGACAGTCGAGAGGTCTAAAAAGATAGTCAAGGGGGCATGCGCATCATTTTTAAGACATTGACACTTTTGTACCTGCTCCGACCTCTCCCGCGCTCTCTGTCCCTATGCCAACTGTCGCTTTGGCCTCCTCAGGTATTTCCGCAATACTTTCCCAAGCTTGTCACGTGCCGGGTTATGAAGAAAGAACCGGTCCAGCTTTTTATATCCCGCAGGGTAGCCACATGTCTCGACCAGCCATCCGACAGCCTCTTCCTGCTCCTGGATAAACCTCTGCGGGATGTAATCGGTGTATTGGACCTGGGCCCGAATATATATACCCTTCCAGGGGGGCTCCAAATGAAGATCTTGAAGAGAAACGTAGGAACCACCCAACAAGACCAAATCCGAGAAGCAGAGTCTAAAACATGACGCCTCACTAGTCAGCCTGTCCCCCCACCTCCCGCCCAGAGTCACTCAGCTGTTTAGGTACATGTGCAGTACATTGTCACCGTCATGAAGGCCCTATTGGTTTGTGTTTGAGGCCTGTCTGTTGGTTTGTGTTAAAGACCATCTTTAATAGAGCAATCAAATGCCGGGATGCATGCCGAGGCGGACGGTGCTGCGGGCCGTTTGACTCGCAAAGCTTGCTTTACCCCCGAGCTTTCTATTAGCGCATGTGACCCCGACGTCACCTGCTTTCCTTCAACATCTCGAAGGCAGGCATCATGTAGAACAACACCAGAAGCACACCGCCGATTAGCGGAGAGAGCGAGACATGGGACACAAGCAAGGGTGTCGGTATCGGATATAATGTTGGAAAGACAAGGTATAAAAAAACCTGTGCTTATTGAGGGCAGCACGGTCAGAGAGAGGTATACTTTGGAGGGGGGAGCGCCTCGACCTTGAACAGAATCAAATAACACGCCTACCAAATATGAGAGACCCATTGGTTTTATCTTTTCGACACTTTCTTTCCAAGTAACGTGTTCCTATCTGAACTGAAGGACAATACGTGCTCCCTTCCACCGCTCCTGCCTCATGCATTCTCTGCCACTTGCAGCCCACTGGCACGACAGCCCCCCAGCTTAACCAAGCAACTCCCGTGGCTTCTCCTAACCTTAGCAACCGTTATTCTCACCGAGTCCTACATCACAGCCCATTCTCGATTCTGTTGACTCGACTTTCCCACGTTGACCTTTCGACTCAGCACACGTTTATTACGTAGGTGAGTCCGCGCTCATATACACCGAATCAAACTTTTTATATATTTGAATATTCTAACAACACACCCTCATCTGACTGACAACCATCTAACCTACCCTAGCGTAAGTCAAGGGCCTTTCAGCCTCCGCGACCCATCACACCGGAAGCTCACAAGCCACGCCGACCGTTCGGCCGGCCGGCGTGCAGCAACGTCGCAGCGCTCTCCCACTTTCCCCCTTTTTCATTCAATTTTTTTCTTCTTTTTTTCATCCTTCTCTTCTTCTTCTCCGTCCCCAAAACCAATCCCCGATCGAGAACGCAGAGAAAGAATGAAGGAAGAAAGCGCCGACTCGGGCGCCAGCTCGGACCAAAACCCTCCTCCGAAAGTCCCCCTCTCCTCGTCAAGCCCACCGACTCATACCCAAAACGAGAACCCCCTCGCCGTCAGCAGCAGTGAAGCTCCAAATGACAAAACCCTCTGGCAAAAGCTCCTCCCCGTCGTCGCCTGCGGAGCAGGGTTGTTTTCTGACGGGTATATCAACAACGTAACCTCTCCCCCTTTCCCTACCTTTCTCCACCAGTCAGTTACTAACCCGCAAGGGAAAAGGTGATCGGCTCCGTCATAACCGTCCTCGCAATCCAGTACGGCCCCCTCTGGTCCACCTCCACAGCCAAATCCTACCTCAGCGCCATCGCCTTCGCCGGAACCGTGGTGGGGCAGTTGCTGTTTGGGTATCTGAGTGATAAGTGGTCGAGGACAAACTCACTGTTGCTGTCGACGCTGATCCTGATCTTGTTCACGGCGTTGAGTACGGGGAGTTACTACAAAGGGGACGCGGTGGGCATGTTCAACGTGCTGACGGTGTGGAGGTTTTTTGTCGGGATCGGGATCGGGGGGGAGTACCCTGCGGGAAGCGTCGCGGCGGCCGAGTCGTCGGGGGAGCTGAGGAAGGGGACGAGGAATATGTGGTTCATTTTGTTTACGAACAGCATGATTGACTGGGTGAGTTTTACCTCTTCTACAACAAACGAGAAGGGGGGGGGGGGGTGTGTGCTGACAAAGGGATAGGGCTTCGTGATGGGGGCTTTTGTCCCCTGGCTTGTGGCGGCCGCGTGCCACAACACCAACCTGGAAGTTATTTGGAGGACGAGTCTCGGGATCGGGGTGGTGTTTCCGCTCAGCCTGTTTGTCCTGAGGTTTTTCCTCAAGGAGCCAGAGGAGTTCCAGAAGCACTCGATGAAGCACGCGCGCACGCCGTACAGGCTTGTGTTTAGGTTTTATGGCTGGAGGCTGTTTGTCGTCAGTTCTATCTGGTTTCTGTACGACTTTTCGGCGTACTCGTTTTCGATCTACTCGAGCACGATCCTGGCGAACATTTTTGACGGGGACTCTGCGCCGCTGACGACGGTTTTTGGGTGGAACACGGTGATCAACCTGTTTTACATCCCGGGCACGATGCTGGGCGCTCCGGTGTCTGACTTGTTGGGTCCTAAGAGGGCGCTTGCGGTTGGGGTTTTGCTCCAGGGGGTTGTTGGGTTTGTGATGGCGGGTTGTTACCCCTATCTGGCGAGGCCGGAGGTGGTGGGAGGGTTTGCGGTGGTGTTTGGGATCTTTCAGAGCCTGGGGGAGCTGGGGCCGGGGAACAATATTGGGGTTTTGGCTGCGAAGACTTGTGCTACGGGGGTGAGGGGGCAGTATTATGGGGTTGCGGCTGCGGTTGGGAAGCTGGGGGCTTTTGTGGGGACCTATGTGTTTCCGTATATTGTCAAGGCTGGGGGGGGGAGCGAGGTGCTCTCGGCCCAGTATCCGTTCTATGTGTCGAGCGCGGGGTGTGTGTTGAGTGCGGTGCTGTGCTGGGTTTGGGTGCCGAGGGTGGAGCAGGACATGATCAGGGATGAGGATGAGAGGTTCAGGGGGTTTTTGGAGGAGAATGGGTATGATACTGGGCAGCTGGGGTTGAGGAAGGATGGGGCAGCGGTTTTGGTTGAGGAGGGGAAGTAATTGTTCGAGTTGAGAGCTCGGGGGTATGGGGGGAACGATTCAGGAATCAGGGTACGTGCACATATATCAGTAACGGATTTGATCTATACAAGTCGGCTTGGTCGAGAGCGTGAGTTGCTGTGTCATGTGTTTGAGTGGCTGAATGGTATCTATGGTAGGTAGGTATCCCCCATGGACATGCCAGAGAGGATGTTTCTGCTTCAAAAATCGGCATGTTGTGCATATCACTTCTGGAGCTTGCTCCCTTGCAAGCCCCTCTAATATCGTACACACCATTTGTGTATCAACCGGTGGGGAAAGCCTTAGGAGAGACACTGGACCAGGTGCCTGCCTACCTATCGATAAACATCAGAGGACTTGTCGACAAGAGGAAACACATGGGACCTTTATATCTGCAATTGTATTCGACAAGCCTGTCTATCCACCCTCGACATCCAAGTTACAACGATCTAGATGAAATAACTGGCACCGCAAAAGCAAGCCAAGGCAGACCATATTCCGAACCATGCCTCAAAGGAACGTCAGTAGGCCTCTTGACCATCTTGCGAGCCCATGTCAACTGTCTTGCAAGGCCTATGACCATCTTTCGAGGCCTATCCCCTTTGCAAAGAGACCCAAGTTGACAATCATGATATATTGTGTCCCTATATTTCACCGAGCTTGTCATTCTGTGGGAAGGGTGATTCCTCACAGGATCACAACACAAGAAGACACACCAAAAGGTAGAATTATCCACCCCCTTGATTGATTCAGCTAGCTATACTAATCTAACTAACCCCCCTTCCCCCCTCCCTCAAAAGTAAACCCGCTACTCATCACCACATGCTCAAACAAAACCAATATCGCTCCCCCCCCCGTTTTTTCCCTAAGTAACAAAAATCCCATTAATCCCTACACACTACTGATAATACAACAAAAAAAAAGACCAAATTAAACCCCCTTTTCCCTTCATTCCTATTTTCCCTGACAAAATCAACTCACATCTCCCCCAACACCTCCGCCCTCCTATACCGCCCCGCAACATCACTCGGCAGCAACCCATAGAGCCTCACCTCCCCCCCCCTAACCCGAATCAACTCCTCTGCCATGTCCGCAATCGCAGCCTCCTGCCTCAAATCCCCCCTCGCCATCCCCCTCAGCGAAACCAACCCATCAAACAGCCTCTCCTCCATCTCATCCAGTTTGCTCTTCTTCTTCCCCTTCTCCAGCCTAACCAAGGGGTAAAGCAAATACACCACCGCCGCCCTGTCCCAGTCCGAAATATTCCTCTTCACCTTGAACAGCAGCTGCGCATACGTCGCCAGCTTCTTGTATTCCCTCCCAATAACCAGATCCGGCCCAACCTTCGTAACAAAAGCCCTGTTCGCCTCGGCATAGTTTTTCGCCCAGACCAGCGCGAGAAACTCCTGGTGGGTTTCTCCCCTGGCCCTATAATCCAGCGCCTTCGCCTCCCAGATCCATGATTCTGGGACTCCAAACTTCTTGAGCGCACTGAACGCACTGCCCGGGTTCCTCGGCGCACCAATAAAACTGGCGTGCCTCCCAAGGTGATCCCTAACCGCCCTCTCCCTCGCCTCCCTCTCGCTCAGCTGCAGCAGCACAAACGCCGCAGGCACCCAATCCCCCATCCCCGTCAACGCCCCCGCAAACCCAACACTCGCCCTGTCCAGCCTCCCGACATCATCCTCCCCGAACCCAACCTTGCCGCTCGCATGAATAGCCCTCGTCATCAACCACCCCAACCGCCCATCACTCCAGTCAAACTCCTGGTTCGCAAACGCCTTCAACAAACTCCACATCTGACTCCCCGGCTCCGGCTCCCTGTCCTGCTCGACATCCATCTGAAAACTCTTGATCGCCCCCTTCACGTTCGGCGCCCCGTCCTCGGCGGCAGAATAAAACAGCCTCAGCCCAAAAGCCTGCTCCCAAGTCAACCCGAACCGCTGAGAAATGGTAAAGGAACTAACCCTACTTTCAATCGGCGCGTCCTTGACCCCGTCACAAACACAGGCATTGCCGGCCAGAAGTTCATAAACCGCGCGGACGGGCTCGGAAATCTCAGAGAGAACATTCGACTCCCTCCAGTCCCTCAACTGAGCCTTGATATCCGCCTGCTGACTCCCGATCCCAGCAACCAGCACAGCAAGTCTCATATCCCTCCCCTTGACAAGCTGCGCACACGCCTCCGGGACCAAATTCCCAGCCAAACAAATGATGGCCTTCTCCTCCGGCGACTCAGCCCTCGCAAGCGCAGTCTTGGTCGATTCCAGCACCAGTTGCCGCCAGAAACCAGGCAGTCCAACGCCGTTCTCGTCAAAAAGCAGCGACGCCAGCTCCCAAACGGCATCACCCTGCGCCACCTTCTTAAACTCCGGGCCCGAATCTCCCTGATAGCCAGAAACGCTATCGATATACTGCTGAAGCTGAGCCAGAATCTTGGGGTTGACCTGCGCCTCCCCACCAGGAGTGATCGTGCCGTCAACAGCCTGCAGGCTGGCCTCGCCGTCGTGAGCCGTCACGAGAACCCCGTCAGGGCCCCAAGTGGGACGAGGGACCGACTGAGTCTCGTCGTCTTCAACCTTGGAACGCGTCTGGTATGGCCACTGTAACACAAGAAAAAAAATGTCAGAAAATGTTTCAATTCAATATACGTAGAATTACAAAACCGGGTGTTGATGCAATTTTTGGGTAGTGAGACAAAGAATGTGTGTGTGTGTGTGTGTGTGTGTGTGTGTGTGTGTGTGTGTTGTGTGCAAAAAAGAAAAACTAGGAGACAAGCGGGAGACCGACCTTCACGAACCCCTTCGCGGGCGATGCCTGCGAGGACTGAGTCGGCCCGCCTTTCGTTTGCTGAAACAGCGACTTCATCAAGTCCAGACTGGTCGCAAACCCGTCGTCGTTATTATTCACCGCCACGTCCTTGGGGGCGGGGCTCCCGCGATCCTTCATATCCCAAACCGCCCCCGTCTCGTTGAGTTCCCGAAGCGTGGCCCGATCCACCGTCCTGGGCGCCCGCACGCTCGCCTGCAAAATCTGAGTCCAATCATCACCACCGGCCACCTCAATCTTGGTCGGGGCTGTCGACTTCTTGAGCGCCCGCATCCGTGCTCTCACAATGCCAGCAGGGAGTCGCTCAGCGTTGTCGTCGTAACGGGAGAGCTGGAACTCATCCTGGGCGCCGTCGACCGACCCTTGTTCGTACGAGTCGTCATAGGCTTCGAGCTGGAAGTCACCGGGTCCGTCAGCCATGCTTTCATCTTCAGGCCACTCCCGTGATGGTATGGGGGTGTCAGCGTCCAGGGGCTCATGAGGTGGCGTACCCTGGTGAGAGACATCAGAGTCCTCTTCTTCATCGAACATGGCGGCTTCATCGTCGTCGAAGGCGCCAGGCAGAGTGCGGCGGCTGCGCTTGAACTCAAAGGTGTCATCGGGGTCAACAGGCGACGTGGACGAGGCCTCGACAACCGGGCTCGGGATCTGTTCAACGTGCTGAGCACGCTTGGCAGCTTGCATAGGCTGGATGGCTTCCTCCTCAAACTCTTCATCGTCGGAGTCATCATCATCCAGACCATAGGTAGTGAAGTGCTCTACAGAAAACTGCCAGACGCCAGTCTCCGGGTCGTAGTCTTCAAAAGTCGTGTCGGGGATAGCCTTGAGCTTCTGAATGTGCTTTTCAAGACGGCGGCCACTGACGTCCCTGCCACCACGGGGCCATGAATGCTCGAGCGAGATCAGCGCAGGAACGTTCAGGCCCTTGCCAACGGGCGGCTTCTTGGCCGCAACCGGGTACACGGTGGCTGAGCGGGGAACCAGGATGACGATGTTGTCAATGATCTCATCCACGTTGATGTTGCTGAGATCGACAGGAACCTTGAACTGGACATTACCCACGTGGACGCGACCAACAGTAAAGTCCACAACCTTTTGGCGCTGCGTCCTGTTCATGGCACGGATGTCCTCGAGCGACGGGCTCATCCAATACTCACCAGCCTCCTCAGAACCAGCGGATGGGGAGGCGGGAGCTTTGGCAGCAAGCGTAACCCGAGCGGCGGCAGGAGATTCTTCCTCATGGACGATGGCAAGCTCATTGCCCTTGACTTGTGTCATCTCGGGAGCGGCAGAGGCCGGAGAAGCCTTGCTGCCGTTGGCGCCGTTGTTGGTGGAACGAATGGAAGGCCTGAGATAGCCAAGATCATTCTCGCTGCCATCCGTAATCGCAGCGACCTCGTCGTTGCTGGGACTATCAGCTGTGCTGGTATCGAAGCTCACTCTCTTGGCCAACTTGCGAGCACCGCTCGCATCTTCCTGAGCTTGCTTCTTATCACTGCTACTGAACAGATCGCTCCGCATGTCCTTATTGATGATCAGCTTCTTGTTGCTGCTAGCGCTGCCAAGAAGACGCATGCTCGAGTTGGCCGAGAAAGCACCTGGCTGCAGGATACTATCTTCAACGTTGAAGCTGCGGCGCAGGTTGCTGGCAGAAATGCTCTTGCTCAAACCACGGTTGACACTGCTGGCCAAAAGACTCTGTCCAAAGCCGCCGGGGGTGCTCGAGATGCTGGAAGGCGTAGCAGGCGACCCATAGGCGCTGTACGAAAAACCGTAGCCTCTCTTCTGCGGGGTGACGAAGCGGGAAGCGTTCGCGGGGCTGAGCTTGTACATGGGCAAAATCGACCGGCTCTTAACCTTGGGCTTGCCACCTAGAGGAGTGGCCAGGGGCCCAGGATTGACGATCTTGTCATCACTGAGACCCGAGAACAAGGTAGCGGCACCATAAGCGGAAAGGTCATTGATGCTAGTCGACAAACCCTGCTGCTGCTGCTGTTGTTGGGAAGCACCAAGCAGAGAGTTGCCCAAGCCGAGCTGGGGCTGCGTCTGAGAAGCGCCGAATAGCGAACCGCCCTGCTGTTGTGCCGGCTGGCTAAAGAGACCGCCACCAGTGGTGTTGCCAAAAAGAGGCTTTTGCTGGTTATTCTGGCCCAGGCCGGCGCCGAATCCTGTGGCAGCAGGCTGTTGCTGAGGATTCCCGAAGAGACCACCGCCGGTCGCGGCAGGCGTCGTGGTTGTACCGAAGAGCCCGCCAGTTGCCGGCTTTGCCCCGAAGAGACTCCCGCCCGCTGCGGGCTGGGCGGCAGCTCCGCCGAATCCTGTGTTTGTTGTCGTTCCAGTCGCACCGAACAAAGAGCCGCCCGTCGCCGGTTGAGCGGTTGTGGTGGCAGTTCCAAACAGACCAGTGGCAGGCTTGGCTGGTGCGGTTCCAAAGATACCTCCTGTGGCAGCGGGTTGGGCCGCGGTTTGGCCAAAGCCGCCAAAGCCCGACGTGGCAGGTTGCTGTTGTTGCTGAGTGCCGAAAAGCCCGCCGCCGGTTGCGGCAGGTTGTTGTGTAGCGGCTCCAAAGAGTCCAGTGCCGGTGCCAGCAGTGCCGGTGCCTCCAAAGCCGGTATTAGTAGTCGCAGTGCCACCGGTTCCAAAGCTGAAGCCGGAGGCGGGTTTCGCGGCAGTTGCGGTGTTGGTGCCGAAGAGACTAGTACCGGTCGTGGCAGCTCCACCGCCGAAGCCACCAGTAGTTGTTCCCGTGGTGCCAAAACCACCTCCACCACCTCCAAAGAGACTGCCACCCGTAGCGGCAGGTTGCGCGGGGGTGCCTCCAAACATGCCAGTGGTTGCTGTTGCAGGCTTAGCACCGAAGAGACTGCTGCCGCCAAAGCCACCGGTATTGGCAGCTGGAGTAGTTGTTGCTGCTCCGAATCCTCCGCTTGTTCCACCGCCACCAAACAAGCTTGATCCTGTAGTGGCACCGCCGCCGAAGCCAGTATTAGTTGTTGTTGTCCCGGTAGCGCCAAAGCCTCCAAAGTTGGTGCTTCCAAACGTCGACCCAGTAGCCCCTCCAGATTTCCGACCCTGGTTGTAGTCGACCAATCTAAGCTCCTCAGGAGACCAGCGCTTGTAGGCGTCCATGAAGCATACGTTCTGGAATGAGTTGCTCTGAGACACATTGTTGGGCTCCTTTTCTACCAGGGGGTTGAAAGCAACAACTGCCGTCCCTGGAGCTTCGCCAGTCGCGGTGCCGATCCCGGGGTTGGTCGTCGCACCGAAGCCGGTCCCCGTGGTGCTTGTGCCTCCACCGCCGAAAAGGCTGCCGCCAGTCGCCCCGGCGCCGAAGCCCGTGCTTGTCCCGCCAAAGCCGGTTGTGGCAGGCTTGGCTGCGCCGAACAGTGATGATCCACCGCCGCCGCCAAAGGGTGTTGACGTGGCAGCAGTGTTGGCAGTGTTGCCAAAGCCGAACCCGGTGCCGCCGGCGGTGGCAGTTGTGCTCCCAAAAAGGCCTCCACCGCTTGTGCTGGCTGGCGTGCCGAATGCTGGCTTCGCGGCGCCGAAACCACCACCTCCAAAAGCACCTCCAGTGGTGTTAGTACCAAAGCCGCCAGTAGTACCGCCGCCGCCGCCGCCGCCGAAGAGACTGCCGCCAGTGGTGCCGGGGGCAGCATTGTTGGTTGCTCCAAAGCCTGTGCCTGTGCCAAACCCTAGGTCATCAGTCAGTAATCAGTCGCGGCCTCGAAAAAGTTCATCGTCGGCAGCAGTGGTGATCGCTCGATGAGACCGTCGATCGATGTCGCAATGGAAAGTCGTCCTCGAACAAACCGAAAAGTCGTTGACACGTACCTGAAGATGTGTTGTTTGTAGCACCAAAGCCGCCGAATGTCGAGCCGGTGGTGTTATTATTCTGGCCGAAGCCGCCGCCGCCGCCGCCAAAACCGCCGAACGCCATCGTCTCGGTGATGATCGATGTCGCGCAGTGGCAGGCAGACGAAAATGCTGGTGATGTAGTTGCTTGTTTGTCGTCAGTCGCGCTCGGTGACGAGGCAAGCGGGTGTTGTTGATGATTGGCCGCCTCGTTGTTGTCGGCTCAGATGGTTATCTTGGACAACGAAGTCTGGGGAAAAAAAATCGCGAGGCAGGGACTGATGTCTTCTCGATCTGCGCGCGTAACGTGATGGATGTTATTTTTCCCCCGAAAAGAAAAATAAAATTCAATGAGATAAAAGGAAAGTTCAAATAAGGGCAGGTTTCAGATGTTGGCCTGCGCTGTTCGGGGATAGAGAGAGGGAAAGTAAGGTAAAGAAAATGGGCGACCTTGCTTTCCTTGACCCTTGTTCGTTGTGGTCGTGACAGGCGCGATGGAGAATCGAGTTGGCAAGCTCGCGAAAGTTCCGCTATTATTTCCTCTCTGTCTCTTCTCTCTCCAGCCCTGGCCCGTTTCTCTTTCCTAGCCCAATGCTTGGGTGGGGCGAAAAAAGAGCTCAAGTGACCAATCAGATAAAGAAGAGTCCTGGGTGAGCCGTGCGTCACCTGCGAAAAGAGTGGCCAGGGTCACAGCTTTTTTGACAGAACACACGGACCAATTATCAAGCACCCAAGCAGCATCAAGCTCCTGTTTGGTCATTCAAGGTCAACTTTTTGCTCTGAAGAACAAGACATCTGGAACACCAGCGCAGTCTCTCCCCCTACATATTTATGGCTCCTCTCCTCCGACCGCTCGCTTTTAAGTTCATCAGCCATCATCCTCAAATCCCTCACGTGCCCAGCCCAACCTTCCAGCCAACGCCCAATTCCCCCCTCTGATTGGCCCACAGGCTACAGCTTAGTAATTCTACAAGTCTGCCTTGCAAGCTTGACGTACTTGACGCACTTGACAACTGCAAATCATAGACCGTTCCTAGCAAAATTATTGGACGCCTTGCTATTTCTCAGTTTTAGACCTTTACCCCTGATGAATCACACAGCTGCCTGCTTCCAGGAAAGACTATAAATCCCCCAGACACACCAGGCCTTTGTTCCGTTTGTCTACTGTCTTTTCGTAAAGCATGCCACAATTCCACACCTCTCAGTTGACAACTCGGTGTGAAATAGGTAGGTTCGTTGTGAAATCAGGCAGTGACCAAAATCATATGAGACTTGTCCATGTACAATAAAACAGCCCACCTCAAGACGTGTTACAACCTCTTTCAAGTCTGGGGTCTCTGCTATAAATATATATGGTTGTCACCCTTCACTTTTCAACATATCCATATTCCACCTCTCGCACATATCACATTGCTCTCCCTCTTACTGCCCTTTCAAAGCCAACCAGCCTTGACACAACAGAGCCGTCCAACCAAACTTTCTAACATGGACTTTTGACCTACCTGCGTATACCTTTACATCACGATAAACTTCACACAAGACACAGAAACACCACCATTTGTATCACACAAACACTCAAAATCTGAAGCTCAATGTTCCGAATGATAGAAGAAGAAGAAAAAGAAAAGGACAAAAAAATAGGTTGCCTAAGTAAATCAATCCATCCATCACCACCACCACCACCACCACCACTTCACCACGTCAACATCCACATCAAACATCCACAACACTCAAACTTCTTTCTTCCAACCCCTACCCTACCCCTTTCCCACTCCTCTTTTCTGTTCCCTCAAACCCACCAAAACCAACCTAACAAATACCGTCCCCATCGAAACTATACTCAACCGCCCCCCACCCCAATTACTCCACCCTCCCCTTGCTTCTCTCTCATCATCCTCACTCTTCAGACTCTTCATTCTTTCCCTTCTACCCCCTCTTCACCCCCCTTAAAACTGAATCAAATCCCCCTGCTGCTGTTGCTGTCCTCCACTCCTCTGCGCAAAAGGGTTGTTCGCCCCTCCCCCCACCCCACCAAACGCCCCAGGCCCCGTCTGCTGCTGCTGTCCCCCACCACCATAACTAACCGTCGGCATCCCCGTGAACTGCTGCCTCAAGAACGGATTACTCCCCGTCTGATCAGCCGTCATCCTTCCCAACCCAGCCCCCGCACTGTTAACAAACACCCCCGGAGCCGTATGCTGCGCCGGAATCCTCAGGTTACCCGTGTTACCAAACGTATCCAAACCCTCGCCCGTACTCAATAGCGCGTTCAGTCTCGCCTCGTGCTCCGTCATCTCCCTCTGGGGCTGCTGCTGTTGCTGCTGCTGCTGCTGCTGAGGTGGCTGCAGTTGGAACGAGGGCTGAGACTGGAACTGAGGCTGAGACTGCGATGCTGGCTGCGATGTGAAGGAGCTAAAGGTTGAGAGCGTCTTTTGCTCTGGGAGGCTACCCAGCGAGGAGGTGGCCTTGAATGCGGAGGATGGTCGCTGGGCAAAGGGGTTGTTTGAACCTGTGGGCGTGGGCTTCATGGCCTGAAGACCGGTGCTGTGGTTGCTGGCCCAGGGGTTATTGCTACCTGGCTGGAGAGTGTTCTCTTGAACCTGTGGTGTCAGGAACTGCTGGGATGTTTGCTGCTGCTGGAACGGCTGCTGCTGTTGCTGCTGAAGGTAAGGGTTGTAACCCGTCGGCTGGGGCTGGAAAGCCTGCTGTTGCTGCTGCTGTTGACCGTACGGGTCAAAAGCATTTGGCTGCTGGCCAAACCCGTTCTGGAAGCCATTCTGATAGCCAGTTGGCTGCGGCTGCTGAACCCCGTACCCGGTAAACGCGTTCTGTACATAGCCCGTTGGCTGCATCTGCATCTGGCTCTGATCAATCGGGTTGGCAAAAAAGTCAACCGCGCTCCCCTGCTGATAGCCCTGGTTGAACCCGGTGAACTGAGGCTGAGCCGTTGGCGTCGGTGCGTCATCAAACAGAGCGGCAGCATTGGTCGACTCCAGTTCCCGTCGCCGTCTTTCCTCTTCCTCCTTGCTGAGCTTGATCGCCTTGGCCAGATCGTCATCGTCCTCATCCACGTTCCGGCTCTCGCGCTTTCTCCTATCCTCCTCCTCTTGGGCCTTGCTGGCCTCGATCGCCAGCCTGTACTCGGTGTCCTCCTCATCGGTCAGCTGTCGTCGCTCGCGGCGGGGTTGCCGCTCTTCCCTGCTCTGCTGGGGGGCGTATTCCTCGAGGCCATTGACACGAGACTTCCAGATCCTCCTATCGGCTCGCTCGGCTCTCAGTCTCTCCTCGTCAGCGATCAGCGCAGACAGCTCCTTTGCGGCAATGCGAACTATCCAAAATCAAAGTCAGTCAGCCAACCCATCCCCGGCAAAAAACGACAGAAGCATTTCCAAAGCCACCCACCATTCGCTCCCACATCCTTGCCCTCCTCATCAATGTAGATAAACTCGCGCAGCGTCTTGATGATAAAGATATTCTGCTTGGCCCACGTCACAACCAGCTCGGAGCCCTCGTGCAGGCAATAGTCCATAACCTTGAGCGCCTTGAGCACGTGTCGCCAGTTCTTGCCCTTATCATTGAGCCGCTTGTCGAGCATGTCCATAATCTCGTAAAACTCGGTTGACCTGTCGGGGGTTGTGTCAGCAAAATTGGTGGTTGGAGACACCTTGTGCTAGCACAGCCAGCGGCCGGCACCGGTGAGGTTGCGTATGCACTCACGAATTGTACGTCAACTGAGCGATCTCGCTCATCTGTGTTCCTGTCGGTCCCCATGGGTCATTGCTGGTCGCTGCATTGCCGGAAGATTAGTTAACGGGCCGGGTTCGATTTGCGCGCATGATACGGCGCAGTTTGGGACGACGTTGACGAGGGAAGAGGGAACCCACCTTCGCGCACCTTGACCTGGACGCTGGAATAACCCTTGGTGACATTCTTGACGCTGCGAATGACTTTCGACATGTTGGGCGTCGGTGTGTGAAGAAGAAGACCCGGCGGTAGCGGATGTCGAGAGAGTGGGAGGCCGGTAATGTCGCAAAGGGAAGAAAGCTAGGAAACTGAGAAGTGGTGGTGGTAAGTAGCAGCAAGCAGTGGGTGGTGCGTGTCGCCGGCCGGGGGAGGGATGCTGGGTGGTGCCGACGGGAGCTTGGCAGCCGATTGTGTGAGCGGTAACCTCTAAAAGGACGCGCCACCAACCTTCCAAGTTCAGGGGATAGTAGGTCTTGGTAAGGCGAAGAGCGTCAGTTGGTACGCTGCGATTATAGGAGACAGTAGGGACCTGCGATCGTGTCGGTAGCAACAAGTAATTGTGCAACCCACGTTAAGCTTTTTCGCCTTCTCCTTCAGCCCCTGATTCGCACTGTTTAGGTAGGTTAGGTACCGTATGTTGGGAGTGGCGTGCGCTCGGTGGTTGGAGCTGCGTGTGGTGTGTGAGACCTGATTGATGTATGTGAAGAGGGGGAGAGCTTGTTCCAACTGCTCAAAAAAAAAAGAGAAAAAAAAGAAAAAAAAAGAAACAAATCCCCACGGACTACCTGGAAACTCAATTGCAAATTGGCACTGTATCCTCTGCCAACTTCAAACAATCATCAGCGGCACAAGGAAAAGATGAGAAAAGATGAAATTGTATCTCGCGCTTTCCAATTTCAAGATTGGAGAGATGACAACAGAGTGGATATACAGGAGATCTGTCGGCCATTTACCGAGATTCCAGCATAACACAAGTTCAACGCCAACCTTTGCGCCTCGGAAAATCTAGACAAGCCCTCAGCGGATCTTCATCAGACCTTAACTCGGACCTTTCTGCCTCCAACAAAACTCTATATGAAGCTGACAGGCAGTTGACAACAACAAAAAAGGCTTCAAGTGCAAGTGGCGGCTGCTGCAGTGTTGAAGCATGCCAAGACATTCCAGAAAGCCTCCAGCCTGCGCTAGACTACTCTGGGCAGCACATCATAGAGGAACCACCTGAAGGTGGACGGCCATGACGTAAATGTTGCTATCTCGAATGCCACACGATCTGTGATCCTGGCATGGCCACGTCGTGGAGGGCAGGTACCTGAGAGACATCTACGTAGTGGACAGCTATTATTCTTCTTCAAACGCTCTTGTCTAACCTGCTGTTCACAACCTTTCAGATTCCTCAAATATCTTTTGCGGTTACAC